GGATTTAATGGAGACTACGGAGTTAACTCCTAACAAGCTAAATGTCCTTTGTAAAGTAGATTGGCCTGCTTTTGGTGTAGGATGGCCCATGGAAGGGTCACTAGATAAAACTGTGATTAATGAAGTTTACAGGACTATTGTAAAAACAAACAAACAAACAACAACAACAAAAAACCCAAAACCCTAACACCCAGGAGAATGGGAAAAGCCAAGAGGCTAAAACTGGTCTTCAACCAGACTCTGTTGTTTATTTAAATTCAGGTAGTAATTTATTGGGTCTCCTGAAGGAGGACTGAGGCTCAGCACTAACTGAGCACTTACAAAAATTAACACATGAAGAATGGAATTGCACTGATACATAAGATCTGGTCTGACTTGAAAGAAAAGGAATATTACAAAAGGGTTGTGAATGTAGAGAGGGGGAAATGGAGAAATGGAAACAACATTGGGATGAGGTCTTCATGGATGAAGTGAAGAGAGAGAGAGGAGAGAAAAAGAGGGGAGAGAGAAAGAAAAAATGTCATAAAATGTTTAGAGACAGAAAAGGATGAAAGGTTTAATACACTTCTTCAATTGAGTTTTTATGTCTTAAAAATAAAAAGTAAATAAAAAACAGTTTAGGATTATTAAAATATGCCAGAAATACTAAACTTGCTGGCACCTTTACTTCTAGGGAGCATAAACAGGGAGAACGTACCTAAAAGGGTGGGAAAAGGAATAACTGTTGCTGGTAAAATAAAAAAAAAAAAAACAAAGCAAAGAAACTGTTCCAAAAGTTTGGTGCAGTAAGCTTAGTCTGTTATTGAGACAGTCATGAGATGTTTATGTTTCCCTTGCTAATGGCTGGTCAGATTATGCATCCATCTCGTGTGTGTGTATGTAAGCATCTTCAAAATCGTTCTTAAACTACTGGTATAAGGTTAATATGATACTCAAGGTACCCAAAAAAAAAAAAAAACCTGGGTATTTGTTTTAAAGATCTCTGTTATAAACTACTTAGGCTTTTTACACATAAATATGTAAACATATTGAGAACAGTTCTTATTATAGAGTCAGTGTAAAAATTACTACTCTGTTCTGCTGCTACTTTTTAAGAAAACAGGTTTTCAAACTTATTTCAATCAGGTCTTACTAGGATACAGGCATTCAGTGGTTAACACTCCAGCTCAGACCAGAGGGAAAAAAAGAAAGAAAGAAAAGGGAGGCCACAGCCTGCAGAGGAATTTGGGTAATTAAATGACCTTCGCCTGTTTCATTCTGCCATAATTACTATGTGAAATTTAATTCTCTCTTACAATACAGGGGTCTATTAACAAAAGGGCTTTCTATAAATTGTTTTTATACAAAAAAATTTTAAGGTTGCTTTCTTTACGGTTTTTCCATATAAATATAAAAAGGTTTTATAAGTTAATTTCAAAAATAACATGATATTAAATATATGATTTTTTACAATAAGAGGATTTAAAAAATACTTGAAAAAACGGATAAAGACAAGCTCCCCCAGTGGATACAAAATAAGTTGCATAATGATACAGAATAAGTTGTCATAAAAAGATGGAGCTTATAGATGCTTATGTAAGTGATTAAGTTAACTAAAATCCAAGAGTTACATTAAAGGTTTTATAAGGTCAAATTTTAATGTACTGATGTTAAACTAAAAACTTAATTCTCTAAGCTCATAACAACAAGGCTATCTTTAAAATATTGTATTGTTTTTGATAACGTTTACAAAAAATTTTCTTAAAATGGTTTTTGTTTTGACAAGATAACTGTCAGGGAGTTTTTGGTGCAACAGGTTAATCCACAAATTTGGCAAGACAACAAGAGTTTATTAAAACACAGAAAAACAATAGGCAGCTGAACACAGGGAGTACTGCTGCACTGATGTAAGGGTTGAGACAGATTTACTTATGTAAAGCCAGATAGGATTAAAAAAAAATTCAAAAAGAAACACTACACTGGAAGTCAAGATCTCCAGTTTTTATTCGACTTAACAGAATGAAGGTGTTAGTCCTACTCCTTCCACATGTTGAATGGAGAGAATTTTTGGCCACGGATGTCCTAATTGGACCTGTTATTTTAGTGGGGCTCCACTGACTATAGGTGGGTGGGATCCTGCTGTATGTCATGAGCCATATGTTAATGTCAACAATCTGGGATGTGCTCCCTTATCAACATCTGAGCCATGATTCTTGGCCACTATGTTTCCTAACTCCACACTTAGTCCCCATAAATATTTACCTGTGTTCTCTGGTGATTTCTGTCAGGGTTTTAACTACTAAGTTAACTGAGTCATGTTCATTTAAGAGTTGGTTTATGTTGGGGTTAACAATGAAGCCAGCCATGTTGGGACTAGATTCCCCTCCCCCATTGCAGATGGCTTACCTTTATCTTCCTGGATAGATGCCAAGAAGAGTTGGGCAGACAGTGACCTAACTACAACTTACCTTTCTTGGTTGCCCAGTAACAATATCCCTTAGTGACCTTCCTGGTACTTTTCCACTAGCCCCCTATATCTAGCCCAAGCTTGTGTATGGCAATGGGCTCTAGCTCTCTTGCTGAGGTCTCCCTCCACAGGGCTCCTGCCTAAACAATAAGCCCTGTACAGGTGTTTGGGCCATCTCTCTGCCTCTTCCATACCTCTTATTTTCTAACAGTTTATATAAAACTTTCTAGATGACCTCATGGTTAAACAACTGTTGTCCTGGGTGATTCTAATACAGTTGGTACCCTATATGTGTCTGTGACTGGGCTATTTCTGTTTACTAAAACTGTTCTTTCCCCCAACAGATGAAAAAAATCTAAGGTTTTACTTCAAGAGCAAAAACTAAACTAACGTGTATATATAACCTCTATAGAGCTGTGATGCTGTTGCTGTTCCCATATATTAAATATATTTATGTTTTACAAGTATATCAAGCCTTCTAAAATACAAAATTTAGTTAAACATGGTAACAAAAAGTTACTGGTACTGATACTGTTCTGTTAGTTCTTGGACATATATACTAACAGTATATTGTCGCCAAGGTAATTCTACTCAGTTAAAAAAAATACTGTCTGGATAAAATAAACAAACAAACAAACTAACTAACTAACTAAACTGTCCAACCATTAAAACCCCATTGGAGGGGCCTTTTTGTTGTTATCTTGTCTACTCCCACCATAGTTAAAGTAGCAGTGATTGCTCCTTGAATCCACCACAGTCAAGTCAAGTCAGCTTCTCTTGAATGGGAATGCATTTCTGGATTGTAAACTGGATTGTACACTCAGCCAATGAGGAAGCGGGGGAGGGACCTGAGCGCCAGGGGAAAATGTTGTTCTGGGTGTTCCTGCTTAGGTGACACCTGACCTTCTGGCTTTACTGTCTAGAATCACCCTCTGGACCTGACAGCCCTCCCTTGGCAGGACTCTGCTTCCCAGGAAACAACAGGGGACCAAGAACAATGGATGACAGCCCTGCGCTAGTCACTACTGGAAGCTGACTAGTCTACACATGGCAGAAGTTTGAGGAGTCAACTCTCCAACGGGACAAACAGGCTATGTTTTTCACACCAGTTATCTCACTGTCACCCCTTGTCTGTATCTGCTGCCATTGTTCTCACCCTAGTCTTTGCTATAGGCTTGGCAGAAACCACCCTCACTGATTGACCTTACTGTGAAAGGTTTTTATTTGCTCTCTTCTATCTCTTTTGAGCAGAATGCATGATTACTACTTATTACTACTGATCTGCTTTAACAGAGGGCTAAATATGCAGCCCTCCTTCATAAGGGAAAGCTGTCCCTAACTACACCTGTGGCCCCTGTAACCCTGTAATTTTCACTGTACTTAAGCCATTTGATTAAACATGGAGAAAAGTAACTAGTATAAAAATAGATAAAAGGGTCTTGACCCTGAGAGTCTGATACACCTCAAATTAGTAACTGTTACCCATGAGAGTTCCTCTCACTGGCTGAGTCTATTGCTCAGACACTAAATGTCACTTCATTCTTTGCTTGTGGGGGTACCAACATGGGAGACCATTTGGCTTGGGAAAAGGATGACATATGGCTTTACATGTAATGATGTTATAAAAATACAAACCCCTAAATTAAGATGATGTTCTTTGACCCTAAGTGGGTCTGAGCATCACAGGGGGGAATAATGTAGCAGAGAGGAGGATCAAAAGAAAACAGATTAGGCCTCAGTCCTCAGAAAGTAGCAGGGAGGTAGGGATGGCAGAGCAGAGATAAAACCTGAGAAATCTGAACATGAGGAAGGTCAAGTAGCACCAGGGAGGGGAAAGTCATGTATAGCCAATAAAATTAAATACAACCAAATATGGATTAAACCTTGCTTTTTGCTTCTTAACCTGCTTGCGAGGGTATATACGGTGAGAACCCTTTGTTCTTGGGGCTCAGCCTTTGGATATGAGTCCACTGAGCCTGTGCTGGCACAATAAAATGTTGCTTTCTGCTAATTGCCTCAAGAGTCCTGTATCTCAGCTAGCATACTCCTGCAACAATATAGCACTAGTTTACTAAAATCTTTTTGTTGTTGTGTGTGGTACTGGGATTTGAACTCAGGAACTTCATGCTTGCACCTCCAGTCCATTTTGCTCTGGTTATTTTTGGAGATGGGGGTCTAGAGAACTATTTACCCAGGCTGGACTTTAACCTTGGTCCTCCAGATCTCGCCTCCCAGGTAGCTAGGCTTACAGGTGTGAGCCACCAATGTTGAAAATACAGTCAGTGGTGGTTCCTTTTCAGGACAAGACATTTAACTCTGAGTGGAAAATTACGGGCTGCTTGCTGGCATAGCAGCTTGAGTAGGTGACAAAGCTCACGCGCAGAAAAAGACAAACAGGATGTTAGGGGCGGGTCAATTGACGGGGAATTTAAACGAGATTGTACGCCCCGCCGCGCTCAGCCAATGAGGAAGCGGGAGAGGACCTGCGCGCAGGAGAAAATGTTCTGGGTGTTCCTGCTTAGGTGACACCTGGCCTTCCAAGGCTGTCATTAAAGTCTTGCTTTCGCTGTGCTTCGTGTCTCAGAGTCCATTCTTTGAGTTTGGCCAGGTGAGTACAATTCTCACAGCAGCACAGGCTCTTTTTTGGTTCTTAAAAAAAAAAGCAAACAAAAAACACTTCCAGTAAGCCGTCTTCCACCTGAGGCTATTTTCCATCTGAGGCTTTGATTGGTTTCCCTCTCCGCACGTTACTTTTTCCTTTCCCAGGAGCGGTTCTCTGCCAAACCCAGACTTGATTTCCTACTTGTAAAACTTTAAAAAAAAAAATCGGACATATTCCCAAACCGCAATTTTGCCCGCTTCATATTGAGTCTCTGGAAATCCACCCATTTTCCGCGGGAGCGGTTGTGCTGGGAAATGAGGTAATTTCATTGGTTTTTTGGTTTTCCGTCCCTCCATGGCGATTGGCTCTCAAGCCTGCCAATTTGCTTTCAGTACGGCAATACTCAAACATGGCCGCCCCCAAGTTGACAGAGTGGGCTGAGCGTGGCCATATTAACTAGCTTGCTGATGCTGGTTGTCGGTGCACTTTCAAATGTTTTTACACCCTCCTCGGCTGCCGTAGGCGGACCTAGACTCTGAGCAATAGACCGGGATTTGTGCAAACGGTTCGCGGAAGTGCAACGTTTAGGCTCTTGGTGTGGAGAAATCTGGTCAATGTTTTGTTTTTTTCTTTCAAAGAGAGCCTGGGTATGTAGCTCAAGCAGGCCTTCGACTCCTTATGTAGTCAGACCAGTCTAGCCTGAAGGTTCTTTTGCACTAGTGCGTTTTAGGTTTTGGTTTTTTTCCTTAGCAGAGGGCTTACCTTATTTCTTTAGGGGGAGGGCAGACAGTGCACATGGGTAGTGTAGATGCTAAGGCAGGAGAGATAGATGAGGAGATTGGGAAATTATTATTTTAATAAATAATCATAAAGTAAAGGCTGGAGAGCCAGAGCAGCCAACCCCCTCCCATCTCCTTGTAGATGCTAAGTTACAGGAGCAGGAGACTTCAAGAAGCTATATGCTTCTGCTTTCCTCTTTGTTTTATTTTTTTGGCAGTACTAGGGTTTGAACTGAGGGCCTCACTTCTTCAGCCACTCTGCCAGCCTGCTTTCCTCTTTGAGACATTAACAAGCTGCAAGGATCCTTGGATGGGTGGAAAATGATCATGTCTAGCAAAGGAAGGTTCTAAAGCACACCTATTGTCCCTGTGATTTGGGTGGGCTGGGATAACCCTCTCCCTGTTTTAACAGCCATCTCAGCCACCCAGATTCATATGGTTGATCTCATATTTTCCTCCAGCTTTCCAGTATAAGGCTAAGAAATGGGGGCCACCATTTTGAGTTTGCTCCCTTTTCCCATGTGGAGAACAAGAAATGTTTTCTCTTCCCTCCAGCCTTGTCTTTACTTTATCCTATTATAATAAAATAATTCTTTGCTAAATCCTCAACCTTTTGAGATGCCTTGTTGTGAGACACCTTGAAATGCTTCTTGTGTTTATGGATCTCAAGGACCTGTGATTTTGCCTGGAACCTGGGAAGCTGTGGAAGCCCCCCTCATGGGTGCTCCAGGGACATAAATTGACAAGCCAGCCAGGAGTTGAATTTCACAAGGTATGGAAAGCGTTTAGCTTGGGAAACTTTTCTCTCTAAATCTGATTTAGCCATGGTGGTGGTTTCTTTCACCTCTCCTGCTCCATAAGCTGCTCCTGTCACCTTTCCTGGATTGGCCACCCGAGTGAGGACAACAGAAGCAAAAATAGACGAGGAGAACGGGGAAGGGAGAGAAATCCTGCTCAAGTCCCATTGTCAATTTTCTCAGCCTCCCAAATGATTCACACAGCCCTGGGGTTAAAACATAAAATCAATTGGAAATCTAAATAGCACGTGGCTGAGGACTGGAGCTGCTTCTCTGCTCCAGCCTCCTGGATTTTTTCCTCCGCCTCATTCTAAGCCTCTAAATCTGCCTAAATTCTACTAACAGTTTGGTTCTTAAAGTCTTGGTTTCAAGAGGGACCGCTTTTCCTATCACAGACAAGTCTAGACTGGGAGAGGAAACAGGTCTTGTCCAGGTCATTGCAGGAGGCAGTCCTGGACTGGCCCATCTGCTGACCTGTGTCCTGGTCCAAGCACCACATGTTCAGGATTACAAACCCACACCCTCAGCCACAGGTGTGCACAGGCTGGAGGGACCAAAGAGAGAATTTCAGTTTTCTAAGTTTTTCTTTATCTCCTTTAAGTGTCCGGTGGATATAAAATTGTATTTCAGGTTATTGCATTAACTAAAAGGCAACAAGGACAGCCCCCTTCTTGGGTTCTGCTTTGGATTCAAAAGGTATTTGGGTTTTCAAGATTATAAGATTCAAGATTAAATAAATTTTTCAAGGGGCGAAGTCATCCTTCCTTTTCCATGCTTACCAAGATAGCCAGAAATCACCAGTTTCAATGGAGATGTAACCCTTTTCACCAGCAATAGCCTGACCCTTTCCCTACCTGACATGTAAATTCTGACATCCTGTATTGTTTTTCTGGAGGAAGATATAGGATGTCAGCTCTGCACCCAAAACTAGGATCCTGTAGTCCAAGGTAAACTACTATTAGAGATTATTTAAAAAGCACCCTCTTGGGGTGAATCTAAAGTCTTTTAAATATTAACAGAGGCTATTATAAGTTAAGATTCTGCTCCTAGATCGCAATATGGACTCCCTCGTTGACAGGGAAAATTCAGGACCCAGCAATAAGTCCTGGGAAGGGCATGATTAGGATGGGATGCCTCCATAAAAATCACTGTAGGTTTACTGATCATATTCATTGAGGTGTGAGGGGACATCGGTCCGTAAGAGTATGGATTAATTGCTCTGAATAAGGGACAGGGTACATAGGAAAGAGGGGGAAGAAACTTCCACAATCTCCCAGTGAATGATGCAGCTATGCATGTCTCCATTTCTTTTCTTCCTTCTATCTTTCTTCTCCAGGCACAAATTGAGACAGTATAGGAGAAAGCACAGTCCTGGTCATTCTCCCTTAGGATTTTATGAGCTCTGCTTACTGCACTGAGGGTCATACTAAGTGTGTAAAATTTTTAGGCTGGAAGGAGTAAGAAAAATAATATATAGCCAAATCTAACATTAGGTCTCCTGAAAATGGGGCCTTAAACAACTCCAATTGCAACTTTGGTATTTTGAACCACTTTTGGACTTTTATTAATTTTGATATTCTGCGGTTTGTCTAATAGGGAAATTTGGATTCTGTGTTAGTCTTTAGCTAGAAAGGGATGTTACATACTAAAATAAGAAGTTTAAGGAAAACCTGTAATTTGCATAAAAAGTGAAAGGCCCTGGGCTTATATTGTTGCTGCCCTGAGCCTGTCTTGACCCTACCTTAAGGAAGATTCTAACTTGCACCTCTGGTTGGAAAGGTTTTTCTGAGAGTGCATGCTAATTGATATTATGTGTTATTTTGTGTATATCTGTTGGTCTTGTGTTTATAACTGACTTAATGGAGGCTAAGACTCCAAAGGCTACAAAAACAGTCTTGTTAGAGATTTACTTTTGCTTTGCCCACCAAGATAAGCCTCTAACAAAATGAGTCTAGAATAGTATTGGGGAAAACTTAATTTGCTCCTGGAATTCCAGCTCATCTTATGCATTCTTAAATTGACAGTTTTGGGGATTTTTTTTGGCATGCCTAACCTTTTTGTGTGTGTGTATGGGTATGTAAACACCTTCAAAATGGTTTTTAAGCTGCTGTTAATGTGATATTCAAGGTTAACAAACAGGTATTCAAGAGGTAACTTAGGTATTTAGAATTACAGTGAAAATTATTTTTAAATGAAGGTATATAAAACTGCTAAAATATATGTGATCTTAATGTGTTTCATTCTATTGAAATTATAATTCAGATCCTACTCAAAGTATTTGAGTCAACTAGCAAGTGTGTTTTTATAAATTGTCATTTAAAGAAGTAAGATTGTTATCTTCACAGATCTTCATTAAATTGTAATATTAAAAGTACTTTATTGGAGAAACAGTTATTTAAGTTGTTAAACATTTAATAGAAATTTAAATATTTCAGCAAGTAAGAAAAATATAAAAAGGTAATGGGTGCCAGTGGCTCACGCCTGTAATCCCAGCTACTTAGGAGGCGGAGATCAGGAGGATCATGGTTCAGAGCCAGCCTGGGCAAATAGTTCATGAGACCCTATCTTAAAAAAACCTTAATAAAAATAGGACTGGTGGACTGGCTCAAGGTGAAGCCCTGAGTTCAAACCCAAGTACCAAAAAAAAAAAGGTAATGGGTATGTTTTTGGGGAAAAAAAAGTTAAAGATAGAAGAAAATGACTTTTAAATAAAGGACTTTTGTAGGATAAGGTTTGTTCTAAAGGCTTGCTCCAAAATAAAAAGGGACAAAACCTCAATGTTTAAAAGGTAGCAAAATCTATGAGTAGGTCTTAAGTATATAAAAGACAAAACTCGTAAGGTTCATTTATCTAATTAATATGGCTATATTTTTTATTTTTTTAGTGTTGTGCTGAGTGGGGGTACATTGTGGCATTTACAAAAGTTCTTACAATAGATCAAATATACTGCAGTTGAATTCACCCCATCTACTGTTCTCCTTTATGCCCCCTACCCCCATAATATGGGTATAATTTAAAAGGTTAACTAAATGATTTCCTAAAGTCAAAATTTTGTAAACTAATATAAAACTAACATCTAATTTTAAAATATTCTTCTCTTAGTAATATTTACTAAAAACTGGCTTATAGGAGAGATTTTATGTTTTACCAAGATAATTAATTGCTTGTAGAATTTATCAAGCTTTTGACTCCCCAGGAAACTGAGCTTGAACTAAAATCAGTTTATTTAATATTTGTCTTTTCAGTGATTTTAATACATTTAACACCCTAAAAATGTGTGGGTGATATGTTTAAACTTCATTTAAATGCTATACAAAAGTCTGCAGTGTTAAAATTATATAAAATCTACAGGGTTATAGTTATAAAACTTTAATACAAAGTGACCTGCACTGGATCAGTAGAAAATGAGTCTATTCTTGGGCACTGGCACTGTCTCCCTAAACTTGTAAGAGATCTAAAAGCTTTGATTTTGTTAGTGCTACACAATATCGTACTCAGCCAAAGACTCTCAATTCTACTCAAAAGATTAAAAAAAAAAAAAAAACCCTGTAGCTGTGATGTTAATTGTTGTTGTCTTACATTCTGTAAGTATGTGATTTGTGAAATCAAAAACAGTGCCACTTTAAGAATTAGACATTGGTCACCCATAAAGTACATTTGTAATAAAAAACATTGTAACTTATTTAAAATTCATTTACTATAAAGGCAAAATTAAAAAGGGGGGATTTAGTCTATTAATAAGTTGTATGTTATGTCATCTTTTTACACTAAAACATGAGTCTTACATATATACTTGAGCTGAGAGCTTAATGGTACTAATTAATCTTCCCATCATAATTATTATCCTAAAATGCTGTATGAAATAAAAATTGGTTTTTCAATTGCTAAATATTTAAAAACATTCTAACGATAACTGTTGTAAGTTTTTGTCATCTATAGTTTAGATCCTTCTCTAAGGCATTTATAGTCAAACTCCCCAAAAACATCTCTAGAAAAGTATCTATTTCTCAAACATTTGTCTATTTAAATAGTTGCTCTCAATGGTTTTGTTTTGTATTTTCCTTATAAAACTTACTGTTCTCTGTTGACATTTTGCAAAAGTAGCATTTTTTTTTAAAAAAATGCCACCACATTACCTACAGAGCAAAAAATTAAACTTAAAAATGAGCATCCTATAAGCCCAGCCTATGAGCCACTTCTAAACCTCTCAGTTTGCTTTAAATTGGCCAGGTAAAAAGGGCTTTTATTGGCACTGACTCTCTACCCATCTGACACTTGTCCTCCGATGTAGAATCATGATTACATCAGACTATTCAGGGATCTCATCCCAGCCAAGAGGGACAATTAAAACCAGAGTGGTCAATGTATATCTTCAAAATAAAACTGTTGAGAAACAAAAGAAAAGTTTACAAAATAAAAATAAAGTCACACTGGGCATGGTGGTACATCTGTAATCCCAGTGATTGGGAGGCTAAAACAGAAGGATACATAGTGAGTTCCAGGCCAACCTAAACTATGTGAGACCCTGTATCTACACCAACAGCAAAATGGAGCCACTCCTGCCAACCCTTCCCAAGTAAAGCCAAGAGGTTAAAAAGAATGGGTCCTTATGTGTGGGGTATTTTGGGTAGACAATTTAATTAGAGGTTCTAGTGCATCAATTATTATTTTTTTGGTTTTTTTTTTTTTTTTTGCAAAGGGTAGAAACATTAAATGCTGGAGATTGATAAAATTTTTCTCTCTATAGCTGAATGTAGTATGTCAAATTCTAAGCTTGTTTAAGGTCCTTTTCAAACTGTGGGACCTTCCTGCAACAAGCAGCTGATCTTAAATTCTTGGGGTCTGCAAACTACTGGACCTCTCCATAAAAAGGCCTAGATCTCCCAACCAAAGGTAAATTGTCTAGCCACATTGTAACTCTGGGGAGCTAACTCTTGTCCCTAAAAGAATGGGCCTTCTTAAAATTGGGGCCTCTGCTATGATGGGCCCCCACCAAAATTATTTCCTTATGACCATGGAGAAGCAAATGTGACTTGGTATAGGGTAGAAGGCACTCAGACCTGGGGAGGCATTCCTCTTCCCCCTGAAGGCCTCCAAGGTTATCCCAGCTGTAAGACAGAAAAAGTATTTAGGGGAGCCATAGTTCAAGGAGTATTATTCGTTTTCAGCAAAGATGAAAATTTCTCTATATTTGATTATGAGGCTAGTACTGTATAGCTTTTTACGCTATAACATTTGCTCATGGGCATATTATAACAGTGGTGGGCACTGTAAACAACTTACCCTTGCAGAGTCACATGAAGTGACTCCACAGGTAATTTAAATGTGATGTGAGGTCTAGTGTAAATTACTCAATCCAGAACCCCCCTGACAAAAATCATGTTAAGATTTTTCATAACAACCTAACTCTTAATAGCACCCACTTGACAGAAAAAACATCCTCACAGGATAACTGTGACTTAACTGTTGCCATCTAAAACAGACAACAGATGAATACAGTTGCCATCTTTATAGAAGCTCTCAATCTACTGTGCTGTTGCTATGGATGGCAGGTGTTTTCAGTATTTAAATCTATAGACTTTATACATTTCCTTAATGTTTTATAATTCTTCTTAAAATCCTATTAGCCTTATCCACCTAAAAGGCTTTTTTTTTTTTTTTTTTTGTACTTTAAAGAATGGTTGTCACTGATTTCTCTTTTAGTAAAAGAATAACTTGATGTCTCCTGGTCCTGATCCTGACAGCCCATCAATTAAATTTTCTGCCAACTAAATTTTCTTTGTCACCTCCTAAATTTAAGATAGGGAAACAACATTTTGGTTTCCTTTTTAGGTAGGGCAGCGCCCAAACTCAGCAGGAAGCTGCACTCCTTTTAAGATTAAAAGGGACCAAAGTTTTTTGGGGGGCGGTGGGGCAGTGAGGCATGAGGGATAGATGAGAAGACAGGGAAATGATATTATTTAATAAATATTTAGAGGGCCAGACTCTGACATTCGAACAAGGACGTAAAGACTGGCGAGCCAGAGCAACTAGCCCCCTCCCATCTCCTTTTAAATGGTAAGTTACAGGAACTGGGAGACAAAGAGGAGCTGCCTGCTTCTGCTTTCCTCTCTGAGATGTTAACAAGCTGCCAGGATCCTTGGATGGGTGGAGCATGATCATGTCTGTCTAACAAAGGGACGTTCCAAAGAACACCTATTGTCCCTGTGATTTGGGTGGGCCAAGACAAACCCCTCCTGTTTTAACAGCCATCTTAGCCACCCAGACCCATTATCTTCGACCACATGTATTCACCCAGCTCTCCAGTATAAGACTAAGAGATGGGGGCCACCATTTTGAGTCTTTGCTCCCATTTCCCGTGTGGAGAAGAGGAAATATTTCTGTCTCTTTCCACCCCCCCACCTTGTTTATATTTTATTCTGTTATACCTAGCAAGAGTCCTTATTGTGAGACACCTTGAAATGCTTTTCATATTTGTGGGTGTCAAGGACCTGTGGTTTTGTGTGGAAACTGGGAAGCTGTGGGAGCCTTCTTACCCATCCCCTGGTGACAGGTCTTCTGCTTGTACCCCAGTGTCTGAGTCAGGTTTGGGATTTAATGTGGGGCTCAGTGGTGTTGGAGCTGGGAGGATGAGCATCACATGAGATGTCAGGTTCAGGTTTCTCATTTTAACGAAGGCGCCATGTGTGGGCAGTGTCTGCTCCAAAGGCTGTGGGATCTGTGAAGGATAACTTGTCTTTTCCATCAAAGAAATAGCAACCCAAGTAAATCCACTTTAAAACAACGGCTCGTTATGCTTGCTTAACTGGTGGCTTCCCAGAATGTTAAGTGTTAACCTTACCCTTTCCCAAGTAAATCTACTTTAAAACAGATCTCATCTATAGTTAATAGAGAAAGACTGTGAACCCTGACTGCTACCAATAGGAGAAGGGGCCAGTGTTGTGCCAGGGAAGAAAACCCAAATGGACTTCCTGCTTGGTGTGCTTGCTTATCAGATTTATGTTGGTGACACACCCTTCTGCAGAACTAAAACTTTTTGCCTTGCTGACTGACTCCTAAGTCTTATTTCTAACAGACCTGAAGCATTGGAGTCATACTAGTCCTTGCTGAGGTAGGGTTGAGGCTCCAACATCAGCTACTGGAACAGTAAGCATGCAACTTGGCCCTAGGTTGAAATCATGTTATCTACATTTTAATCCGGAGTAATTTACTAGGAATCAGTCTGTGACTGGTTGCAAGCTTCAGAGTCAGAGCTGAGTGTTTGTTGACAGAGACCTGTGAAATGGAGATTTGTGTAAGACCAAATGCCTTCACTCAACCTTTCTGGCTTAGGTGTTTAGCCTGAGGGAGGATTGGAGTTCCAGGTTCTTGTCTCAGGCACTTCATAGACAATGTAAGCAAGTGAAGTGGGAGAGTTTATTGAGATAAAAAAGTGTAAAGTGTAAGAGTGAAGTCCCTAGAGATGGGGAGGAGGTCCCAAGAGAGGGTGCCAAAGTGATATGGTCTAAGGCTTTTATCCATTTTCTCCAGGGTGTTCCTCAAACCTGTATGCTAATTAGGTGTGTAGAACGCAGCATTCTGGTTGGCTGTACCTGTAACATTCTGATTGGTTGGTTCTAATCCTCACATCATTCTTACTTTTGTCCATCCTACTATTCCTGCTTTCCACCCTTTAAGATCACAGGGAGGTCATAATGAAGTTTCCAGGGGCCCTTCGGTCTCACCTTCATGACCTGCAAAGTGAAAAATATGTAGCATTTGTCCCTTTAGAGAAAATATCTGCCACCTCCCACACTTGCCTCTTAATAGATAGTAGGGACACTTTTGCTTATATGCCTGGTGTACATTTACACTGTAACTGTGCTGTTAGAATGTCCATTTCATTAAGTGTCCTGGCCAGGTGATCCCTGTTGCAGTTTACTAGTGAATCTTGTTTGATGTGTATGAATCATGGCAGTTCCTGTTAACCATTGCTAGTAATAGTCTTGCATGGTTTTTTGCTTGTATTTTGCAATCCTTTAGAAATGAAAACATCTTGCAGGCTGGGCCAAAGCTGGTAATTTTTCTATCTCATTCCATTATTTGAATATATAGCAGATTTTCCTACTATTAATTACGTTTGTGTTGCTTGCACTTAGGATTATTATGCATGATGCTGCTATGGAAAATCTTATGAACATCTTCTGGTTCAAATGTGCCCTTATTTGGGGGAAGGAAGGAAACAAAGACCTAATTGTGTAAACCGAGGAGAGAAATGGCTACATCATAGGGCACGAGTGACCTTAGTCTAAATAGATGATGTCAGACTTTCCCAGAGTGGTTGTGTCAGTTATGTCAGCTGTTTAAAATACTGTCCATGCTCTAATAACATTCACTCTGCTATGTTGTTTTCTTAAAGCTTTATTGATTTGCTTTGCCATTAAGACTAATAGTTGACCCCAGAATGGTTTTTGTGTGCATTCTGGGCTGGATTTCATCTTTATCCTCCAACCCCACAAGGATATTAAAGATGCCTAAACTTACCTGCCCCTGAGGCCTGGTGCTGTTGTAGGTCTCACTTCCCTTACTCCTTAAGTCACCCTACTTAATCCACAGAATAAAAGAATACCTCTATTATACTCAGAATCTTAGGCTTGCTTGGACCAAGATAAAAATCTGATGGGGCACCAAATACAGGGATAGTTAACAGTATTGGCACATTGTGTTAAGATGTGTACCTAAGAACAGTGACAGTACCTGTCCCAGAGGAAATACCATTCAACTTTAGGTTCTCGTCAACCTCTAGGTCCTAACTCCTCAGGAGCAAACCAGTCACACGAAAGAGGAAATCACAGAACTGGAGAGATAGCATTTCTGGGCACACAGTGGCTTGAAGACAGATTTCTGAACAGCAACTTAAAGTGGATCTAGAGCATCTCAGTGGCCAGCTATTTTCTGAGAGTAGAAAACAATGATCCAGGCACAGGTAACCAACATTTAGTATGTTTTAATCTTTCCTTTATTTCCTTTGTAGAGGCCTTTAAATATTTAGTTCCATTAATATGAAAAGTATAGATTTCATAAAATATGAACTAAGAAATAACTTAGTCTTTTTTTTCTTTGTGGTACTGGGACTTGAACTCAGGGTCTACATCTTGAGCCACTCCAGCCCTTTTTTTGTGATGGGTTTCTTCAAGATAGGATCTTGAGGAACTACTTGCCTGGGTTGGCTTTGAACTGTGATCCTCCTGATCTCTGCCTCCTGAATAGCTAGGATTACAGATGTGAGTCACCAGTGCCTAGCAACTTAGTCTTTTTGTTGTCTGTTCCATTTCCTTTTTTGACATGGGAATATTACTCTGTTGTCCAGGTTTGTCCACTCAGCCTCCCAAGTTGCCAGGACTATAGGTGTACACTGTGCCACCTCCTTCCATATAACACACATGTGCGCACACACAGACTAAAACTTCCCTATGTATACCACAGTGATCTCATAAGATTATATTGCGAGTGATGACATAGCTGTCTTACTTTGTATAAGATAGCCTCTAAGATGTTTGCACAAAGACAAAATTGTGTAACGGCTCATTTCTATGAAGATATTCCCATTGTTAAACAACTTATGATGTATGGGTGTGTATGTGATACCTAGCTTAGTAAGAAGATTTAACGCTGAGTATGGGGGCTCATGCGTGTAATTCCAGCTGCTCAGGAGGCATAAGTGGGAGGATCTTGGTCTAAGGCTGCCCTTGGCACAAGTGTGAGACCCAGGCTGAGTACTGGTGGCTCATGCATGTAATCCTAGCTACTCAGGAGACAGAGATCAGGAGGATTGTGTTTCAGAGTTAGGCCAGGCAAATAGTTCACAGGACCCTATCTCAAAAAAAGCCATCACCAACAAAAGGGCTGGTGGAGTGGTTGGAACCTTGAGTTCAAACCCCAGTGCCACCAAAAACAAAGAAAAAAAAGTGTGAGACCCTGTCTGAAAAAAATACTAAAGCAAAAAGGGCTGGGGATATGTGGCTACAGTGAGCATGAGGCCCTAATTTCAAACCGCAGTACACCCAAAAAAAAAAAAAAAAGAAAGGAAAGTTATAAATGTTTTTTTTAGCATCTATTCATTTTGGGGGTGGAATTTGTAGTGACAGTAGAAGATGTAACTTCTACACGTTATGTAAACTTCTAGTTAGATGAGTGGATGGATGACTGAATATATAATTACAGATCTTTTTATTAGAATTTTACTTCCACAATGTATTAAGCAACTGGCAGATTCAGTGGAAATAAACAGAAAAACTAACATTTCCTCCATATCATCACAAGGAGATCACTTCCTTAATAGAGCCGTGTTGTTACAGGAGCTGCTGACCCTGGAGGATGTGGTTGTGGTGTTCACCTGGGAGGAGTGGCAGCTCCTGAGCCCTGAGCAGAAGGACCTGTACCGAGATGTGATGCTGGAGAACTACAGCAGCCTGGTGTCAGTGGGTATGGATAGCAGCGCTGTATCACTCAAAGGGTGCCCCCCATCAGTGGCCTTTCCTTTCTCAGAGTCTGACAGATCCTAGAGGACCTGTAGTGTTTCTAGGGGGTAGATTCTCAGTCCCTCTCTGGACCCCAGACGATAGGGCATAATATGTCCCCTTCTGAGGAAAGGTTTTGCATTGCAGACATAAACCACTTAGTTCCTAAAAGAGAATACACTTCCATCCCAGTTTGCTGAGCCGAAGACTTCTGTTATTCCCCATGAACAGGTTATCAAGCCAGCAAGCCTAGTTTCCTCTCCAGGTTGCTCCTAGGAAAACTGTGGACAGATGGTGAAACCTGCTGCGGAACCCAGTCTGGTGAGAGAACTGGCTGGGGGAATGCGGGAATACCACACTTTGGTCAAAGTAGGCATCATGGCTGTGAAAGGTTTGAAGTCATGTGAGCTACGCCTCCACACATCTCTCAATGGGAGACCTTTTTTCCAAGGGTATATTTAAAGGAAAATACTCACTTTCGTTTCTTCTTGGATCTAATCCCTCCTACTGCTATACTTTTTTTTTTTTTTTTTGTGGTATTGGGGTTTGAACTTAGGGCCTACTCCTTGAGCCACTCCACCAGCCCTTTTCTGTGATTGGTTTTTTTTTTAGATAGGATCTCATGAATGATTTGCCTGGGCTGGCTTCAAACCATGATCCTCCTGATCTCTGCTTCCTGAGTAGCTAGAGTTTACAGGTGTGAGCCACCGGTGCCCAGCTCTACTCCACATCTTGATGTTTTGTTTGCATAATTTTTTTATACAAATCCCAAATATCTTTCTTCTTCATACCCTTCTCCCTGTGCTATGAAATTCCATCTTCTTGACCTTTCTCCAAAGAGGAAACTTTGAATGCTCCATGTCTTGTGACTGCTGTGCCTTCCTCCCCTTCAGGTACTGCTGTTTCTGTTCTTGACTCCATCCCAGCTCAGGTCCTGTGCTGAGGTGATCTTGATTCAGCAGGCCTTGACCTCCAGAGCTTTTCTTCTCACTCTGAGCTTCCCTAAAGGCTCTGTTTCCCATCTTCTCATCTGTTCTCACTTTTCACCTTTTCCTTTATTCTAATAAGCTCCTTTTGTTCTCTACATCAGACTCTTAAACTGACATCTTTCTGGTGTTATCTAGCATAAACTTAATTTTTTTCAATTTGCTAATCTTGATAACATCTACCTTAAGTTCCTAATATCTGGAAGGGGGTAGAATCATCTTCCCTCCAAGAAAACCCTCTAGGTTTGCATTCTGCTTTACTTCTGCACATCTGAAATTCTGACTATCTGCACATTACCTCAGATGTTCCCTGCCTACACAGTTCTTCTGTTGAAAGGTCGGTGCTATTTGTGATGAGTTTTTAACTCAGACTTTGTTTTTATTGTTTTATTATTCATATGTACATACAAGGCTTGGGTCATTTCTCCCCTGCCCCACCCCTCCTCTTCCCCACCCCCTCAATACCCGGCAGAAACTATTTTGCCCTTATTTCTAATTTTGTTGTAGAGAGAGTATAAGCAATAATAGGAAGGAACAAGGGTTTTTGCTGGTTGAGATAAGGATAGCTATACAGGGCATTGACTCACATTGATTTCCTGTGCGTGGGTGTTACCTTCTAGGTTAATTCTTTTTAATCTAACCTTTTCTCTAGTTCCTGGTCCCCTTTTCCTATTGGCCTCAGTTGCTTTAAGGTATCTGCTTTAGTTTCTCTGCTTAAGGGCAACAAATGCTAGCTAGTTTTTTAGGTGTCTTACCTATCCTCACCCCTCCCTTGTGTGCTCTCGCTTTTATCATGTGCTCAAGTCCAATCCCCTTGTTGTGTTTGCCCTTGATCTAATGTCCACATATGAGGAGAACATACGATTTTGGTCTTTTGGGCCAGGCTAACCTCACTCAGAATGATGTTCTCCAATTCCATCCATTTACCAGCGAATGATAACATTTCGTTCTTCTTCATGGCTGCATAAATTCCATTGTGTATAGATACCACATTTTCTTAATCCATTCATCAGTGGGGCATCTTGGCTGTTTCCATAACTTGGCTATTGTGAATAGTGCTGCAATAAACATGGGTGTGCAGGTGCCTCTGAGTAACCTTGTCACAGTCTTTTGGGTATATCCCAAGATTGGTATTGCTGGATCAAATGGTAGATCAATGTTTAGCTTTTTAATTAGCTCCAAATTTTTTTCCAGAGTGGTTGTACTAGTTTACATTCCACCAACAGTGTAAGAGGTTCCTTTTTCCCTGCATCCTCGCCAACACCTGTTGTTGGTGTGTTGCTAATGATGGCTATTCTAACAGTGTGAGGTGGAATCTTAGTGTGGTTTTAATTTGCATTTCCTTTATTGCTAGAGATGGTTAGCATTTTTTCATGTGCTTTTTGGCCATTTGAATTTCTTCTTTTGAGAAAGTTCTGTTTATTTCACTTCTTTATTGGTTCATTAGTTTTGGGAGAATTTAGTTTTTAAGTTCCCTTATATTCTGGTTATCAGTCCTTGTCTCTATGTGTAGCTGGCAAATATTTTCTCCCACTCTGTGGGTGTTCTCTTCAGTTTAGAGACCATTTCTTTTGATGAACAGAAGCTTTTTAGTTTTATGAGGTCCCATTTATCTGTGCTGTCTCTTAGTTGCTGTGCTGCTGGGGTTTCGTTGAGAAAGTTCTTACCTATACCTACTAACTCCAGAGTATTTCCTACTCTTTCCTGTATCAACTTTAGAGTTTGGGGTCTGATATTAAGATCCTTGATCCATTTTGAGTTAATATTGGTATAGGGTGATATACATGGATCTAGTTTCAGTTTTTTGCAGATTGCTAACCAGTTTTCCCAGCAGTTTTTATTGAAGAGGCTGCTATTTCTCCATTGTATATTTTTAGTGCCTTTGTCAAAGACAAGTTGGTTATAGTTGTGTGGCTTCATATCTGGGTCCTCTGTTCTGTTCCACTGGTCTTCATGTCTGTTTTTGTGCCAGTACCATGCTGTTTTTATCATTATTGCTTTGTAATATAGTTTGAAGTCAGGTATCGTGATACTTCCAGCATTGTTCTTTTGACTGAGTATTCCCTTGTCTATTTGTGGCCTCTTGTGTTTCCATATAAATTTAACGGTAGATTTTTCAATCTCTTTAGTGAATGTCATTGGAATTTTGATGGGAATTGCATTAAACATGTAGATTACTTTTGGGAGTATAGACATTTTTACTATGTTGATTCTACCAATCCATGAGCATTGGAGATCTCTCCACTTTCTATAGTCTTCCTCAATCTCTTTCTTCAGAAGTTTATAGTTTTCCTTGTAGAGGTCATTCACATCTTTTGTTAGGTTTACACCTAGGTATTTGATTTTTTTTGAGGCTATTGTAAATGGAATTGTTTTCATACATTCTTTTTCAGTTGGCTCATTATTAGTGTATAGAAATGCTAATTATTTTTCTATGTTGATTTTATATCCTGCTACCTTGCTGTAGCTATTGATGATGTTTTAACTCAAACATTTTTAACAGCAGGAAAATTATGATCAGGGCATAACTCATGCCTACTTTGATTCCATTGTTTTTTTAATTTTTATTTATTTATTTTTTACTAATTCTGAGCTTGGTTCATTGTAGATGTTACCATTGTATTTACTTTTTATATCTTCTCCCCATCATATTCTCATGACATTCTAAGACCCAGGTACCATGTTACCTGTCATAAGATGTTCAAATCTTTAGTGATTTTTCAGTGATGTCTTTGATGCAGTATCATTTTGCTTACACAGATTACTATCTTTCCTAAATCCTTCCTGATGTGTTCCATATATGTGATTACTTTTTTGATTCATTTCTTTAAAAATTGTTTCTTGGTAGCCCACTGTATGCCAAGGGATAACAGCAATGAGCAGAAACAAACTGCAGATCATTCTAGGAGGGTAAGATATAAAATAAAGCAGTATCATAGAACAGAACATCCAAGTGGGGGGATGTTTTGTTTTTTATTTTTGTTTTTTTTGGAAAGTAATCCACTTCTGCCAAGATACGCAGGAATTAGGGGGCTACTAACTCAAGGAGATGTATTGGGTGCTGGTCAGATTCTGGGTCTGTTTATAGAGGGTAGGTAGGATTCATTGAAGTAAGTACAGGATGAGAGAAAGAAACAGAGAAGAAGGGTGATGCTGACCAGTTTGGGCATGAATAAGAAAACAGATGCTGCCATTTACTGTGGGAGATGATATGTGAAGTAGGAGATTTGAAAGCTTTGAAGATGGTAAATTAGATGTGCTTATTATCACCCCAGTGAGGCTTTCTGCTGCATTTGGATATGCCCTGAGTTGTTCAGGGAAAGGCCAGGTTTGTGGATAGAAATTTGGACTAGAGAGTGAAGGAAAGAGGTAAGGCACAGACGAGGTTTGAGCAAGTAGAAATTAGACAGATGAGTCATTAGTAAAGTAGACTGAGAAGAGAGTAAGTGGTTAGGTTGAAGCTTCCACTGCTGTTTTCTTGTTAGCAGCGGAAGTGTAGGTAAATTGGCTAATCATGGTGCAGGACTTAGCCTTTCATTGCTATCACAAAATGCCTTGCATAAACAACTTAAAAGGAGGAAAGCCTTATTTTGGCTAATAGTTTCAGAGGTTTCAGTCCATGGTTACTTGGTTCCATTGTTTTTGGGCTGATGGTGAGACATAACATCATGGTGAGGAGCATGTAGCAGAGCAAAATTGTTTACCTCATGGTAGGCAGGAAGGAGGGAGGGCAGTAAGGAAGGAGAAAGGGAGGTAGGAAGGGGGAGGGAGGGTGAGAGAGGGAGAGAGAGAGAGAGAGAGAGAGAGAGAGAGAGAGAGAGAGAGAAAGGCCCCTATTAAACAAGATACAGCCCTCAAAGACATGCCCTTAAGGACACACCCCCAGTGATCTCCTTTTTCCAGCTACTCTACCTCCTAAAGTTTCAAGAACCTCCCAAAAATAGTGTCACCAGCTTGGGGACCAGGCTTTAATACATGAACCTTTTGGGGCACTATATATTCAAACCACAATACATGGTAATTTGAACTTTACTGCCAGGTTGACTGTTATGAACTCTATGTGTTTTTCATTGAGAATAGAGTTGTAGGTACTATATATTTTGTGTTTCATATTTTTCTAGCTTCCCTCTTTGAAGAATTTTCTTGTTCTGGGTGACAGCTGTGTAGCAATAAGGTACATTTAGATGTTCCAAGAAGATAAAGCTGCCACGAACCTTGCTTGATCCACAAAGAGGAGATGGTCCTTTCAAACTCCTTAATTGAAGCCTCTGACATAAGTGTAGAACTATGGAATAATACAGCATTGCTGTCAAGTTGAGGGATCAGAAGAGAGTGAAATGGGAAGAATGTGTGTCTGTCCAGGAACAGTGTGAAGAAAAAGGTGACAGCAGTTCCTACAGCTGGGGCAGCAGTTCCTCTGTTTGTGGAGCTGGCCTGGCTCTCTTAAGGGTCACTGCTGCCCTCTTTCTCTAGGAATACAAATGATCAGTTATCAATGACAGCAAGTTTCCAATAAACTTGAGGTTACTGCTTTTGAGACAGTTGCTTTGATAGTGGTCTACAGAATGAAGAAGGGTGAATTTTAGGAAAAGGATCAGCACCCGAGGTCTACCACAGTTAACTCAAAATTCTGAGTAACAAACTTTCCTCTGGGGTGGCTGTTCCAGTTTCTAGTGTCTGCTTATCTCCATGTTTTCCCTCAGTAGTTTTTTCCCAGTTTGCAAACTTAAAAGGATAAGATGACTAAAACATCTTTATCTTCTTTTAATCAACATTTTCTCTGAAAATGATGATCTCTTGTTCCATGTACTTACTAAAGTTTTCCAAGTTGATTCTCCAGACAAGCCTTTTTTCAAGATTTCTTTATCCTTCAGACTTCCTCATGGTTATACTTGGGCATGTAAAAACCACCTTGAAGTTCATGTGCTTCAGCAATTTTCCTTATTCATGAAAAGGTACTATTACCCAGTGACTCAAGGAGGATACTTGGAGCATTCCCCAATTCCTTGTTTTTCTGTCCTCCAACGCCAGCTGCAATAGTGACTCCATCAATGAGCTCTGTCTTAATCTCATTTCCTGTGGGTGTCTCCATCTGCATTGCTCCTTCACTCCACTTTGAAGCCTACAGCTGCTACTGTTGTGTCTTTCTTTAGTGTTTTAAGTGGCTTTACCAAATTAGGTTGTAGGGTTCATGAACATGAATGTATTTGGCATCCCAGCACTAGCACTGGGCCTGGCATACGTAGTCATTCAGTAAGGATTTATGGAATGAATGCATCTGTCCTTTTGGATGAGATGGGGCCCTGCAACCTCTAGTCTCCTGCTCACAGTGAATTGCTTGTGTTTTATAGTCTCTCTATGTTTCAAAAAATCTTGTTTAGGAAGCATGCAAATCTGTATTTATTCATTATGAAATCTCTAACCTTGTTTCTGTCACTGAATGCTGCTTTTATCTTTGGTTTCCTTTACATAATTGTTTTCTCCCAGTGCACAAGGAACACCAAACGTAGAGTTTTACTTACATTCATGTCACAGGGTTGTCACTAAAGATACACCTCACATCGTGACATTTAAAAAGTGCCTTTCTTACAAATCAAGGTGATGGAAAACTCATTGTTGTTTTCTTTTGTAGATATGGGGAAAGTTGATAACCATCTTCCCAAGCACTTAGAAAATGAAAGCAAGGCAAACAGAATAGAACAGTGGCATGAACGCCATGCATCTGATAGTGCTGTTCATCAGAATAAAGCTCAGTTTCTGTTAAGGCAAAATCATGATGTATTTACCTCACATAGGAAAAGCGTGAAATCAAATTTAACTCTGGTTAGCCAGAGCAGAAGCTGTGAAATAAAGAACACTACTGAGTTTTCTACAAATGGAGAATCCTTTGTGCATGCCAACTGTGAACAATTTCATACTGAAATCAAATTCCCTGCAAGTGGAAAACTCATCAGCACTGAATCTCAGTTCATTAGTCCTAAGCACCAGAAAACTCAAAAAGTAGAGAAACCTCATATAAGCAGTGAACATGGGAAAGCCTTCATCAAGAAATCTTGGCTCACTGACCAGCAGATCACTCATACTAGAGAGAAACCCCATAGATGTAACCTGTGTGCAAAAGCCTTTTCCAGAAAATTCATGCTCAACATACACCACAGAACTCATACGGGAGAAAAACCTTATAAATGCACTGAATGTGGCAAAGCCTTTCTTGCAAAATCAGGGCTCACCAAACATCAGAGAATTCATACAGGAGAGAAACCTTATATATGCAGTGACTGTGGAAAGGGATTTATCCAAAAAGGGAATCTCACTGTCCATCAGCGAATTCATACAGGTGAGAAACCTTATGTATGTGACGAATGTGGAAAAGGCTTCATCCAGAAGATCAGCCTCATCACCCATCAGAGCTTTCACTCAAGGAAGACTTCCTTTGTGTGTAGTGAATGTGGAAAATCCTATGCACATAACTCTGGTCTCAGTAGACATAAAAAAATTCACATAGGAGAGAAACTCTTTGGATGTAGTGAATGTGGGAAAGCCTTCACTACAAAGCAACATTTCATTGCCCATCACAGAAGTCATACAGGAGAGAGACCCTATGACTGTAATGAGTGTGGGAAAACTTTTGCATACATGTCTTCCATGTCTAGTCATAAGAGAATACACACAAGGGAAAAGCAGAGAGAGTCAGTTAGGGTGGAAAATTCTGTGAAGAGTGGTAACTCATTACATACTAGTGATGCCACACAGGAAAAAAATGCTGTTAACACAGAAACCATACAAGTGTCTTCTGTGAGCCCTCAGGCACCATTGAATACCAGTGGGCTCCTAGCAAATAGGGATGTAGTCCTTGTGGGACAGCCAGTGGACAGATATCCATCCTCAGGAGGTAACAGAGGATTTGCACAGGAGAGAAACCTTATGAATGCAGTGTGCGTGGTCATGCCTTCAGTCATCAATTATGTCTTATTTTATGTCACACAAAACCAATAGGAAGAAGCTCAGATACGTTCTATATACAAAAGGGTTGAGCAGAAATTTCTAGTTCATTACATAGTGAAAAGTATGTACTGGGAGAAAGTATATAAATGCAGAGATGGGGAAAGCCTAATATTCTCATCCTGTCTAAATGCTCCATTGTTATACAGGCATAATCTGATGTTAACTACCCAGACACATACATAGCAATTGTTATTATATAAATTAAATGAGTGAAGGAAACAAGAGTTTCTTTCAATGGAGGAAGTAAGTTCTGGGAATGTTTAAATCAGTATCTGGAATGTTGCTGTGAATGAACAAACACATAAGAGAAGGTTGAGGGGAAAGGGTGAGTGTTGGTTTGATGGGATGCAGGGCATCTATATGACATATTAGTTTCCCCAGATGTATGTGAAAGATTAATTGGAAACCAGAGCATCTACTAAACTTCTAGAGCTTTATATTTTTACGGAAAGCACTATGAAACTGTACCCTTCTATTGCAGCAACTTGCTCATCTAACAAGGATTAGGCAAATGCTTCCCTTGCACCTAGTCCTGTTTTAGGAGCTGAGGTTACAGTGGTGAGCAAAATAGCAAATGGTTATGGTCTCTTGGAGAGAACACTGAGTTAGTTGGATTATCTTTAAGTGGCATTACTACATTCCAGCTAATGTCAGAAGGTGAAAACATCTACATTAAGTGAAGCGGATGTAGATTAACTGGTTCTAGGGGATATTATTGGCTTAAGTGTTCAAGGAGCAATTTTGAGAGATGGGGAAAGATAGCTATTAATGGTTCATAAGCACCTTAGAGCTCAGTTACTTATTTTGATAGTACTTGGGTTTGAACTCAGGGCCTTATGCTTGCTAGGATAGCACTCTACCATGAGAGGCATGCTGCCAATCCTTCCGCTTTAGTTATGTTTCAGACAGGCCCTTATGGTTTTGGGCAGAGCCATCCTTGGACCCTAGTTCTCCTACCTGTGCCTGCTGCATAGCTGGATTTCATCACTTCTGCTGGTTTGTTTGTTGAGATGGGGTCTTACTAACTTTTTACCCAGGCTGGACTTGAACAGCAATTCTCCTAATGTCTACCTCTCAAGTACCTGGGATTACAGGCATGAGCCATCATGCCTGGCCTACAGATTTGTATTTTTAATGTTCATGTCTTAACCTTTTCAAGAGAATAAAAATTCCTTAATAATTTTGGTGGCTGCTGAAAATTTATTTTAGAAAAATTGAAAATAAAATTAGAAATTCAGTCCCTCATTTGCGCTAGCCACATTGTTACATGTTCAATAGCCATATGTGAAGATGGCTGCCAAATTGGACTGCATAGACAGCAGGATTTTGAGACAATAGGTAATTTCTGCCGTCATTTCCATCACCCTACACAGTTAGGTTAGAGAGTGCTGACTTACATGGTCTTATATTCCCAGCACATAGAGAAAACAAAAACTATATATTGATTTGGGAAGTGAATAAACAAGGGTCTAATCAAAGTGTACCTTGTCACTGAAAAGCCTAACAATTCTAAAGAATGGAATTATCACCCCAAACTTTGTGTGTGATTACAGAGACTAATAACTATAAAAGGGGAAGAGCAAAAAAGGAAAAAGTTCAGTTGGATAAGTAGAACACAAAGTAATGTGAGAACCTTAGTCTCTAAGAATGGAGGAGAGTGTAACAGATGGGAATGGATGAGTTTTGGGGGATGTCTTTGAGCTGACTCTTTATGTGTCCATAGGCCTATTGCCTTGTAGAGTTACTAGTTCAAAGACCTTGGCTCTGTTGTACCATTGAGACGTAATTTATCTTCATCATTCCTTCTCACTGTCTGGGGAGTGAGGCTCTTGACCTTCTCTTTACCTCATAAGGGTATATTATCCAAGTCCTGCTCATAGTTAAAAAGAAAGGGAAATTTGCCATGTCTCAATCGAATTCTGAGTTATGGGTAATTTAAGCAGTATCTTAAAAGTACCACACTGTTCATGTTGCTGTTTTGCACACTGTTGATACATTGGTGAAGAAAATAGACAAAGGAACAGACTTTATATACTTTATCTAATGAGGCAGAGACGTAGTAAAACATATTACTCAATGTCAAGAAGAAGTAAACCCAGCAATGGACACTGATGAGTAGTACCTAATACGGTTGTAATGGTGCCCCCATTCCTAAGCTTCTGGACAGATGGAATTTGAGCCAAGGTAGTAAATGTGTTGAGAGGAGCCAGTCAGCACAGCGTTGCTGTGCAGATAGTACTCCTGAACTGTTTTAATTGTCTGTAGGATTCCTGCCTCAGGAGTCTCTGAAAAATATTGTTAAAAATGCAAATTATTTATTCATAATCCCAGACTTCCTGAGCCAGAACGTCTCAGACTGAAGGGAAGGACTCTACATTTGTTAACAATTTTTTTGGTATACGCTTAATTTTGAACATCTTTGTCCTGGATTTATGCTTAATCCTAATTAGTGCTTCCATATTGGCTCCCACATTATAGTGAGATGCGTTTAGGACAGAGTCTCCCCAGCTAAGAATCTGAAATGGTGATCCACTGATCAGGACCTTGGATCCTGACCACATCTTGCTTTTGTGTGAGCCTGTACATTCTGCCACGGTAAAGTCAGGTCAGTTCACTTCCTGAACTGCTCAGTTTCTAGGGTCAAGTTGGCCAGACCTACTATGAGCCCTGGGGATCAGGTGCTGAACTCACCTTTCAAAGTTTAACATCCTAGATTAAGGAGGCCCAGGGCATACCTAATCTTGTACACATGCACCTGCTAGCAAAACTCAGATCCTCATGGTTTTAATGAAGATCATCTTTTCCTATGACTTCAGTTGCTCCTGGGCCTAAGCAGTCTTGCATAGTGGTTAGGAAAGGTCTGAAATCAACATTGCCTGGTTTAAATCCTGTGCTGCTGTGACCAAGCTTTACCTTTAAGCAAGTCACTTACTTATGCCTTTATTTTATTGAGTGTGTGTATGCAAATGTGTGCACTGGGGATTGAACACAGGGCCTTATAAACAATAATCTGGCTATGTACTGAGTTTCTCTCTCTCTCTCTCTCTCTCTCTCCCCCCACCCCCCACCACCCATGTGTGTGTGACCTTAATTCAAAAGTTGCTATGCATTGACCCGAGGATATCTCATACAGATTTGTAATTAGTTTTAAAAGAAAATGCCTCACTTTTAACTTTGAAACCTACAGTGGCTGTTCTCAGGAGTTTGAACAATGGCAAAAGTCTTTAAGAAGGCTATCAAGTTTGCCCTTCTAGCTCTTCTGTCTCCAGTGCTCCCCTTTGCTCTCCAGTTCCTGGCACAATGGGCCTCCTTTAGGCCTCATATTACTCACTTCCAGTCCTTTATACATGCTCTTTCCTCTGCATGTATCTTTCTTTCCTCCTGTTTTCTGGGTCTCTTCTCATCTTTTAGAATCTCCAATCATTACTTCTTCAGAGCAGCTTTACTTTACCAAGCAAAGCAACCCTTCCTTTTTTTAAATTTTGAGACAGGGTCTTGCTGTGTAGCCCAGGCTATCCTTGAACTGTTCCTCCTACCTCAGGCTCCTGAGTGCCAGGATTATGGTTGTGTCCCACCATGCCTGGCCTATTTACTTTTTAGCAGCTATATATTGTTCTGCTGAGGAGATGGTTTATATTTAGGTTGTTCCCTTTTTAAAAAAAATGAAATTTTCATATAAACCCTCTTATACTATTAATATATTCTAAATTTAAAAAATTTGAGTAAACTTGATTTATATCATACATTCAATTATCCTTTCCAGTAATACATTTTCAGTAACTGCTGTGGTAAATAGAAACAAGTTTAAGTAAATTATTGTAATTGGAATTTCTGTATTAAAAAGAATGAAAATTTTGGTGCTCGGGTATAGCTTGATGGTAAAGTATTTGCCTAGCATGCCCAAGGCCCTGGGTTGGAGCCCTAGTACTGGAAAAATTAAATTATACAGGTAGTTCTAAATTGTCCTCCTCAGGGCTGGTGGAGTGGCTCAAGCAGTAGAGTGTCTGCCTAGCAAGCATTAGGCCCTGAGTTCAAATCCCAGTAGCATCAAAAAATAAAATTGTCCTCAAAAAATGCACAGATTATATTCTCTATTACCCTACATCCCCTGACTGTATAAAATAACAGCTAGCATTCTTTCAGTGTGCTGTTTATTTTTTAATTTTGCAGAGTTCCTAACAAGATAAGACTTCATTATTTACTCTCAAGTACCCTTTGTTTTTAAAGGAAATATTTGTATATATTTAAATCCCCACTTCCTTTTCACCTAATGGAGCTACATTTCTAGGCCCCTGTAAGGGTTTAAGCTCACGGTATTCCACTTGGGAGCTTGAGTGAAATGTTGGTTTTGCCCCTACAACAGGTCTCTGATCAACTTCATCCAGACTGGCCTTACTCATTCCCACTTCTGCCTCATTTCCAAACCTCATCAGGACTTAAGTCTCCAGTGTTTTTGTGCACACTGTAACTGCTACCTCTTTAGCACCTTCTTGGTTTCTTCACACCTCGAGGGTGGCTCAAACACGGCTCCCAGCAGAAGTTCTCTGGAGCCAACTTTGTTGAACCAACAGGGACTTCCAGTAAGATGGCCTCACCCCTGGTGCTACTGCCTAACCACCCAAAGGCTCTGTCATATTTCCAAAAGGCTACCCAAAAGGGGAATAGAAAACAAGTTACTCTACCTTAGCCTTGAGTAGGCTCCAACCAAGAGAGTAAGTCATCTCAATCCTTTGAGCCATAGCAGTGGTTGTGGAATACAGTGAAGTTCCTTGGAAACACTCTGGGCTAGGTGGGGCCAAGAGAGCCATTAGTTTAGAGCTAATTTGGCCACATTGTGAGTCAGCTAAGAGATTCTGTTTGGTATACCTTACATTAAAAAGTCATTTTGCCTGGTCCTGTAGCAATTGTTTTACCTGCTCTTTTCCACCCTTGTTTCTCTGACCTAGTAGTTTTCTCAGGTTCACACACAGTTGAAAACTCTGATTCTGCAGACCTCTGAATCTCTGTTCAAACTTTTCCTCTTCAGTATTCTGCCCTGATGACTTTAGCTGCTATGGTCTACCTGAACTCTGAACTCTGCTTTTCAGGTCTGTGATAACTCCTGGCTTTTGGGGGTTCATACTGTGTGCACTGCAGCCAAGAGGAAATTGTCAAACTAACCTCACTTGTTTCTTTCCTCTCAGGGAT